TGTGCACTTTCTGTCTCTCTCTTTGTTAATATATAAATAAAATCTTAAAAAAAAAGTAAAAGAATAAAGAGCAAAAAAATTTAAAGAAAGGAAAAAAGTTGAAATAACTTGACACCACAAGGAACTAGAAAAAGAAGAAACTTAGCTGAAATTTAGTAGAGAAGAAAACAACAAAGAAAAATCAGAAACAAATAAAATAGAGACCAGAATAAATAATCACATAACATTTAAAGTAATGACCAGTTTTTAAAAAAAATATTGGCAATGCTTTAACTACATTAAGAAAAAAAAGACTCAAAAACCAAAATGAGAAATGGAAGAGAAAGCAATACAACAGATAGCCACAGAAATACATAGTGTGATAACAGGTTACTATAAACAATTATATACTAAAAGATCAGATATCTTAGGAAAAAAACCCGGATAATTCCTAAAAACACACAAGTCACCAAGATTGTATCATGAATTTTGAATCCAAGAGGTAGAAAAATCTTCTTAGACCGATAACAAGAATGAAAATTGAATTAGGAATCAAAAATCTCCCAGCACAGAAAAGTCTAAGACCTCATGGTTTCATTGGTGAATTCTACCAAACATTAAAAAAAATAAGGACAATATTTATCAAAATGTTATCAGTAATGGAATAGAGGGAACACATTCAAAATCATTCCATGAGGCCAGTATTACCCTGATACCAAAGCAGAGAAAAACAACAGGGGTGTTTGGGTGGCTCAGTCGGTTTGGTGTCTGACTCTTGATCTCAGGTCTCCATCTCAGGATTGTGAGTTCAAGCCCCACATTGGGCTCTATTCTGGGCATGGAGCCTACTTCAACAACAACAAACAGTACAAGAACAAAAAAGTCTAATTTTTCCAATGTAAGTATTGCTATTCAGACTGAATTTTCTTTTGACATCTATTTGCATGTTTCTCTACCCCCTTACTTTCAATCTGCAGGTGTCTTTAGGTCTAAAATGAGTCTTTTGTAGGCTTAAAGCAAAATTGACAGGAGATGTTTTGTGCTGGTCTCAGCCTCTTGATAACCACTCTTGTTTCTGGACTGGCTCTTGTGATTCTTACTGTGACTGCAAGCAGGAAACTTTGAAAAACAACAAGTCTTATTATTCATAGGTCCTGGAGGGTGTACAGCACACCTGGGGCAACACAGTGAGGTCACGGGTAGAGAAAGAGAGAAAGAGTGTAGGCCTGGGGTTCTGCTGTTTTGAGGGTATCTGAGGACAAGGGCCTGGGGTTTCACAGGTTCACTCTTTATTGGTGAATTTAAAACATAAGAGTGGGAATTTAAAGCACAGGAAGTGGTCAATTATCTAAATCTCCCAAGATCTCTAAAGCAAAGGAGCCTATTGCAGGAGGTGGTGGCCTGGCTCTATCTAGTCTTGTGGCTGGCATTGTGTTTTGTTTTTTTTTTTTTAAGATCTTATTTATTTACTTGACAGCAAGCGAGAGAGCACACAAGCAGGGGGAACAGCAGGCAGAGGGAGAGGGAGAAGCAGGCTTCCCGCTGAGCAGGGAGCCCGACACAAGGCTTGATCCCAGGACTCTGAGATCATGGCCTGAGCTGAAGGCAGCCGCTTAACTGACTGAGCCACCCAGGCATCGCTGGCATTGTGTTTTTCCGAGATTGCTGTCTTTGAAGTGGATACCTCTTTGAAATGCATGTCTTGGCAATCAAAATTGAGGTCAGGCACTTGAATTACAAAAAAGAAAAAAACAACTGTCAGGGCTTACACTATAGGAGGATTACAGAGATTTCCCATATACTCTTTGCCCCTTTATATGCTTAGCCTCTCCCATTATTATCATTATTCACCAGAATGGGTACATTTTTTGACCAAGGAAAAGTGTACCTTGACATACCATGATTACCCAAGGTCCCTAGTGAACCTTAGTGTTCTCTATTGGTGTTGTATATTCTATAGGTTTAGACAAATGTGTAATGATATCCATCATTATAGTATTATACAGAGTATTTTCTCTCCCTAAAAATCCTCTCTGCTTTGTTTGGCATTTCTTTTTTCTTTTTTTTGGTATGCTTTTTAAATTTCATTTTATTTATTTATTTTTTTAAGATTTTATTTATTTGACAGAGGGAGACACAGAGAGATTTTATTTATTTGACAGAGGGAGACACACACAAGCAGGGGGAGTGGAAGAGGGAGAAGCAGGCTTCCCGCTGAGCAGGGCTCCATCCCAGGATGCTGGATCATGATCTGAGCCGAAGGCAGACGCTTAACGACTGAGCCACCCAGGCGCCCCTAAATTTCATTTTATTTTATCTAAATTCAATTAATTAACATGTAGTGTATTATTAGTTTCAGAGGTAGAGTTTAGTGATTCATCAGTTGCATATAACACCAAGTGCTCATTACATTAAGTGCCCTCCTTAATGCCCATCACCCAGTTACCCCATCCCCCCACCCACCTCCCCTCCAGCAACCTTGTTTGTTTTCTAGAGTTAAGAGTCTCTTAATGTTTGTCTCCTCTGATTTTGTCTTACCTTATTTTTCCCTCCTTTTCTCTTTGATCCTCTGTGTTCTTAAATTACATATATGAATGAAATCATATAATTGTCTTTCTCTGATTGGCTTATTTCACTTAACATAATACCCTCTAGTTCCATCCACATCGTTGGAAATAGTGAGATTTCATTTTTTTTAATAGCTGAGTAATATTCTATTGTGTGTGTGTATACACACACACACACACACACACACACACACCACATCTTTATTTGTTCATCTGTCAGTGGACATCTGGGCTCTTTCCATAGTTTGGCTATTGTGGACATTGTTGCTATAAACATTGGGGTGCGGTGCCCCTTTGGATCACTATGTTTGTATCCTTTGGATAAATACCTAGTAGTGCAATTGTTAGGTGTTGGGGTAGCCCTATTTTCAACTTTTTGAGGGACCACCATACTATTTTTCCAGAGTGGCTGCACCAGCTTGCATTCCCACCAACAGTGCAGGAGGGTTCCCCTTTCTCTGCATCCTTGCCAACATCTGTCGTTTCCTGACTTGTTAATTTTAGCCATTCTGACCCGTGTGAGGTGGTATCTCATTGGGGTTTTGATTTGTATTTCCCTGATGCCGAGTGATGTTGAGCATTTTTTCATGTGTCTATTGGCCATTTGGATGTCTTCTTTGGAGAAACGTCTGTTCATACCTTCTTTCCATTTCTTGACTGGATTATTTGTTTTTTGGGTGTTGAGTTTGCTAAGTTTTTTTTTTTTTTAAAGATTTTATTTGTTTATTTGACAGAGACATGGCGAGAGAGGGAACACAAGCAGGGGGAGTGGGAGAGGGAGAAGCAGGCTTCCCACAGAGCAGGGAGCCTGATGTAGGGCTGGATCCCAGGACCCTGGTACCACGACCCGAACTGAAGGCAGATGCCCAACGACTGAGCCACCCAGGTGCCCCGAGTTTGATAAGTTCTTTATAGAGTCTGGATACTAGCCCTTTATCTGATGACGTTTACAAATATCTTCTCCCATTCAGTAGGTTGTCTTACAGTTTTGTCGACTGTTTCCTTTGCTGTGCAAAACCTTTTTATCTTGATGAAGTCCTAATCGTTCATTTTTGCTTTTGTTTCCCTTGCCTTTGAAGATGTGTCTAGCAAGAAGTTGCTGCGGCTGAGGTAGAAGAGGTTCCTGCTTGTGTTCTCCTCTAGGATTTTGATGGATTTCTGTCTCACATTTAGGTCTTTCATCCATTTTGAGATTATTTTAGTGTATGGAATAAGAAAATGGTCCAGTTTCATTCTTCTGCATGTGGCTGTCCAGTTTTCCCAATACTATCTGTTGAAGATACTTTTTTATTTTTTAAAGATTTTATTTATTAGAGAGAGAGAGAGAGAAAGAGCATAAGCAGGGGGAACAGCAGAGGGAGAAGAAGAAGCAGACTTCCTGCTGGGGAGCAGGGAGCCTGATGCGGGGTTTGATTCCAGGACCCTGGGACCATGACCAGAGCTGAAAGCAGACGCTTATCTGACTGAGTCACCCAGGCATCCCAAGACCGTCTTTTTTCCATTGGACACTTTTTCCTGCTTTGTTGAAATTAGTTGACCATAGAGTTGAGGGTCCATTTCTGGGTTCTCTATTCTTGGCATTTCTTTTTCATTCTTTCTTGGAATTTCCATCTCTCCTTCCAGTGCCCATCTGTTCTTTCACATTGTCTGCTTTTTCCCTTAGAGGCCTTAGCATATTAATCCTAGTTGTTTTAAATTACTGGTCTGATTATTTCAACAACCCTGCCATATCTAAGTCTGGTTCTGATGTTTGATTTGTGTTTTCAAGCCATGTTTTTTATCTTTTAGTATGTCTTACAGTTTTTTGTTGAAAGCTGAATGTGATATACTGGGTAAAAGGAACTCTGATAAATAAACTTTTAGTTGTGAGGTGTGGGGGAGGTGAAGCATTTTATAGTCCTATGGGTAAGTCTTAGTCCTTAGTGAGCCCTTGCTACCGGGCTGTGAACTTCAAAAGTGCTTCTTAGTCCTCACGCTACACTCCTTAAGTTGAATAGATGGTTAGAATGGGCTGGAGCTGGGTATGTCTCCTACCCCGGTTTGGTGAAGTGCTGATAAAACCCCAATAGATTAGGCTCTAGTACAATAGTTTTTCTTGAGGGCAGACCTTGTTAAGAACAGAATGTTCTGTTGTATTTCCAAATGGTTCCTTTTCTTATTTTGCTGGAAGCATGAGAGTTTTTTCTACTGATATTTACTGTGGGCACCCGTTGAGCTCCTGGAGGTAAAATTCATAGACGTGTGGAGATCTTTCTTTGACCTTATTCCTCATCTTGATTTCACTGTATTGCAAAAAGATAACCCTGTAAAACTAGTGAACTCTGATTTTTGAACCAATGTCATCCCAAGTAGTTTTTTTTTTTAAAGTTAAACTGAAGCAGAGATATATTTGGTTGATATAAGGAAATTTATTGTAGCTGTCTGTGGCTTCTGTTTTTGTGTTTTTCTCTTCAGTACTTGGACCATGAGACTGTTTCAGCCACGTTCATCGATAGCAGTGGACAGTTTGTTTCCTCCCAGGTGACAGGAGTTAGCCGGAATCCTTACTGTGGCTATGAGCACCAGACCCTGTCCAGCCGAGAGCGCACGGAGGAGGACTCCTTGCTGGCCGCCTTGCAGTGGCAGGTGCCTGATGTGGGTCCCGTCCCCTTTCTGAAGAGCACTGACCCTTCTTCCAGCTACTTCGTTATCTTGAACTCTGCAGCCTTCTTCAAGGTGGGAAGCCAACTAGAAGTGCTGGTTCATGTACAGGATTTTCAAAGAAAGCCCAAGAAATATGGTGGAGACTACCTGCAGGCCAGAATCCACTCCCCAAAGCTGCAGGCAGGGGCTGTGGGCAGAGTGGTAGACTACCAGAATGGGTTTTACAAGGTCTTTTTTACTTTGCTCTGGCCAGGCAGAGTTAAAGTGTCCATATCTCTCGTCCACCCCACCGAAGGGATCAGAGTTCTTCAGCACCTGCAAGAAGAGAAACCACACAGGGTCTATTTCAAGAGTCTCTTCCGTTCAGGAAGAATTTCTGAAACCACGGAGTGTAATGTGTGTCTTCCTGGCAGTCTGCCCCTGTGTAACTTTACAGATCTCTACACTGGAGAACCCTGGTTCTGCTTCAAACCAAAGAAGCTCCCTTGCAGTAGCAGAATTAACCATTTCAAAGGTGGATACCTGAAGGGCCTTCTAACTGCTGCAGAGAATGCTTTCTTCCAGAGGTACGTGCTCCTTGTTCAAGGGGGTATTTTAAGGGTCCTTTTCTACTGTTTTTGTCCCGATTAGGAGACAGCGTCCCATTTAGGAGACTTTCTTGTCTTGGTTATTTGCTTCATATATCTCTCTGAAGTTGGCCCAATTTGGGAGAGATAGTGAATAAGAAAATAAATATTTATATTTTGTGAATAGTTTTTATTTATTTATTTTTCATTTTTTAGGTTCTTTTTATTTTTAAGTAATCTCTACACCAAATGTGGGGCTCGAACCCATAACCCTGAGATCAAGTTGCATGCTCCACTGACTAAGCCAGCCAGGTGCCTCCTTGTGAATAGTTTTTAAAAAGTGAACCTAAGAGCTTATTCCAGTTCAAATGAAAGACCTTTTGCCCTTATGTTTTACTTTAGAACTACAGAGCATACCTGTAGCTATGTAAGAAAGCTCACTTATTCACAGAACAGATCAAAAAATCATCTAAGAACTAGAGGTCTTGTAGTCAGGCCAGTGGTTTAGCTTCATGTCTAATAAAATAAAAAAAAATGTAAGTGGCATATTATCAGTTATTAAAATCATATAAACATGTATTGATAGAAAAAACACTATGACTATGACCACATTGCTGGGTTGACTTAATGATAAACATGGGAAGCCAGGAATACCACAGCAAATTATATTTTTTAAATTAATAGTTGTTGAAATTTTTGCTTTGCTGTGCACAAATTTCTCTTTTTGAACGTAAGTGTAAAACTTTTTCAGCATAATGATCAAGATATGGAACAGTGTGCAGAAGAGAATGTATGGGATCAGTACGAATTAAAATGTTTTCTTCGACATCCCATGTAGTTCTGAAGTAAAATAGCATGCCTAAGGAAAAAAAGTTAGAAAGCCATATGGTCAAAAAGTCCAATTATTTGAAAGAATGTAAAAATGTCTTTTATTTTTTCATGAAATAAATAACTTAAAAAATACTGGTAGAGAGGTAGTTTTGTGGAGCACATCTAGGCAACCCCCCAAAATTTTGTTTTATGTCCACTCATTCCTCAATGGGGGAAAAGTGCCTACCATCAGGTATGTAGTCTATAGGAGCTCCTACAATAAAGCCCTTTGATTTTTCACTTCTGGAGTCAGCTTTTGGTCCTACCAGTTTTAAATACACATTTGGTGGACTCATGCCATGCTGTTAGAAGACCGGCAGAGGGAGCACTACTCAAAGTATTTACTGTACTGTTCTTCAGTATACACAAAAAACTCAGTACACAAGGACTTTAGCTTTAGTTTTATCCTGGGTTCGATCTCAGACAAGCTATTTATCAGTGACGGTGAGCATATTATTTCAGTTCTGTGTACTTTTTGCCAATGTGTGAAGACTGCTCAGTTACTCCCCTTTTAGAGTTGTGTTGTCAGGCCGCTTAGTGGCTTAGCAAAAAAAAGAGGAAGCATAGCTTGTAACTTACTGAAATTCCATGTGGAAAAAAAGTGGGAAAAAGGCTAGAGAATTTGTAAAATTTAAGAATATTCCTGACACCAAATCCTACCATTAAAACCGGAAAACACCTATGAGTCGTGAAGGATGAAACAATGTATGTCCCTGTCCTTACTCATATCCTGGATAAGGCTGGCTGATGGCATTTTGCAGTAGAATCACTTTGTAGTAGTAGAATCATTAAGAAACTCCACTTACTTGGAAGTTTGCTGGGGAAATGGTGCTTGAGGTGGCATTTTTGGAAACCAAACATTTGATAGTCCTGATACTGATTTTATTTTTTGCATTATTTTCTCTGTTAAAATTCTGAGGTTTTGCACCAGCTAACTGAAAAGAAAAAGCAAAGATTGAAAGTGATCTTTTGAGGTGTCCTTGAGTGTACTGTTTTGAGTTCATGGCTTGCATATGTTAAGCTGATACCCATTTTTACGTTTTTCCCTTGGTGGTTCATAACATTGCTTAATTCAGGAAGGATTAAGAAACAGCCTTGGTCTTTGGTTCCCTAAATTACAGTTGGGCAATTAAAGGGATCTAATCTTTGGTTCTTTACTCCTAAGGAAAAAAAATGTTGGTTTTAGAAAGAACAACAGTACTTTGCTTAAAAGATCCTATTAATATAAAGGAAGGCCTTTTTTTTTTTTTTAAAGATTTTATTTATTTGTTTGACAGAGACACAGCGAGAGAGGGAACACAAGCAGGGGGAGTGGGAGAGGGAGAAGCAGGCTTCCCGCGGAGCAGGGAGCCTGATGTGGGCCTCGATCCCAGGACCCTGGGATCATGACCTGAGCAGAAGGCAGATGCTCAGCGACTGAGCCACCCAGGTGCCCCAAAAGAAGGCCTTTTGAAAGAGTGAGCTTCTCACATGAAAAGCTTCCCATATATTTTTAGCATAATTTAATATCTTTTTTCTTTCTAACTTTGTGTTTAAAAAAACCTTTCAAATCATTAGAAACACTGCAAGAATAATAAAAATGAAATTAAAATGAACAAAAATGAATAAGTCTTTTACTTAGATTTAGTCTTTTACTTAAATGTTTTGCTACGTTTGCTTTCTCTTGCTTTCTCTCTGTATGTGTGTTTATATATGTGTATGTCTACGTATAATTCTTCCCCCCTTGACCATTTGAGATTAAGTTGCAGACATCATGGTGTTGCACCGCATGAGTACGCATCTCCTAGCACATGAACTTTCTCCAGTATGTAACCAGAGCATATATACCACACTGGGGGCATTTATCATTGATGCAGTACTGTTATTTAATACACAGTCCATACTCAAGTTTCTCCAGTTGTCCGAGTAATGTCCCTTATGGCTGTCTTTTTTATTTTTTAAAGATATATTAATTTGAGAGAGAGTGAGAGCACGAAGCAGATGGAGAGGGAGAGAGAATCTTAAGCAGACTCCACATTCACACGGGGCTCAATCCCACCACCCTGAGCAAAAACCAAGAGTTAGAAACACTTTACTGACTGCACCACCGAGGCGCCCCTGTTTATTTTAAAAAAAAAATTTACTTAGGGTGCCTGGGTGGCTCAGTTGGTTGGGCGACTGCCTTCGGCTCAGGTCATGATCCTGGAGTCCCGGGATCGAGTCCCACATCGGGCTCCCTGCTCGGTGGGGAGTCTGCTTCTCCCTCTGACCCTCTTCCCTCTCATTCTCTCTCTCTCATGTAATAAATAAAATCTTAAAAAAATAAAAAAGTAAAAATAAAAAAAATTTACTTAATTTATTTTAGTTTATTTTAACTAATCTAACCTATGATCACACAGAGTGTGTTTAGTTACCTCTTTAATCTCTTTTAATCTGGAAGAGGTTTCTAGCTTGTTTTTTACATTATTAAGAATTTGTGTCGGGCTCCGCACTCAGCAGAGTCTGTCCCTCTCCCTCCCCCTCTGCCTCTCCACTGCTCATGTTTTCTCTCTCTTTCTCTCAAATAAATAAGCCAATATGTAAAGTCTTTAAAAAAAGTGTTTTAAAAAAAGAATTCTGATGTCACCATTTTGTAGGATGTCCCTTGGTTTGGATTTGCTGCTTTATTGTTTTTCCATGACCACATTGAGGTTAAACATTTTTACAGGAAAATTACAAAGGGGAAATTTTCTTCTTTTCTTTACCTCAAGGCTCTCTCATTAAAGTGGTTTATTTATGATGTTTTTGAAGTCGTGTCCTCTCTTAAATGCCACTTATTTAAGCTATTTTCTAATGTAGTGTCTGATACAGTTGAGCCTTGAAAACCATGGGCATGGAGGGCTCCAACCACTTGCAGAGTCTGTCCAAAATCTGCTCTAACTTCTGACTCCCCAAAAACTGAACTACTAATATCATGTTGTTGACCGGAACCCTTACAGTTAATTAACACATATTTTGTATGCTACATATGTTAGGTACTGTATTTGTAAAGAAAGCTAGAGAAAAGAAAATCATAAGGAACAGAAAATACATTTACAATACTGTATTGTATTGAAAAAAATCCATGCGGGGCGCCTGGGTGGCTCAGTCGTTAAGCGTCTCCCTTCGGCTCAGGTCATGATCCCAGGGTCCTGGGATCGAGTCCCACATCGGGCTCCCTGCTCGGCAGGAAGCCTGCTTCTCCCTCTCCCACACCCGCTGCTTGTGTTCCTGCTCTCGCTATCTCTCTCTCTGTCAAATAAATAAAAATCTTTAAAAAAAAAAAAAATCCATGCATAAATGGACCTGCATAGTTCAAACCCATGTTGTTCGAGGATCAACTGTACTGCTTTCCTACTTTGTTTTTTTATTTCTCTCCCCCATTAGAATGTCAGTTCCATGAAGGAGATGCTGTGGGGGGTTTGTATACTGTTAGATCCCTGACATCTAGGACAGTGCCAGGCACATGGTAGAAGCTTAGGAATTATTACTATTTTTTTTTAAGATTTATTTATTTGAGTGAGAGGGGAAGAGAGAGAGTGACCATGTTGGGTAGGAGGGGCAGAGGGAGAGGGAGAGAAAATCTTAAGCAGGCTCCGTGCTGAGCAGGGAGCTTGACTTGGGGCTCAATCTCATGACCCTGAGATCATGACCTGAGCTAAAACTGGTCCAAGACTGGTCTACCCAGGTGCCCCCAAAATTATTTATTTTATTTAAAAAAATTTTAATTCCAGGGAGCCTGGGTGGCTCAATTGGTTAGGCGTCTGCCCTTTGGCTTGGGTCGTGATCTCAGGGTCCTGGGATTGAGCCCCGCATCAGGTCCCTGCTCAGTGGGGAGTCTGCTTCTCCGTCTCCCTCTGCCTGCAGCTCCCCCTGCTTGTGCTCTCTCTCTGTCAAATAAATAAGATTAAAAAGAATTTGGAAAGTTAGCATTTTATTTTGTTTGTTTTTGGTCTAAGCGTGAGAGGTAATTATTGTAACCCAGTTTCTGGAATAGTTATAGCAAGTTTTCAGTACTTTCCCCTTGGACTCCACTCTCCCCCACTTTTTCACACAGCTCTCCATCAAATATTTTCCAAGCATGGACTCTAGTCCAGGGCCTGTGCTAAGTGCTGAAGACAAAAGGTGAGGGAGACACAGTTTGTGTCTTTGAGGAGTGTGTGTTTTAGAAAGAGGCACTCCAGAGCCATAGTAATGATGAACAAAGTACGACAAGAGCACATATCTGGGGACGAGTATCTTCAGTAGGGACTCCTCTCTGTTCTGGGCAAGGCCTGAGGAATCTGTCATGCGACTTAATTCTACATGGATTTGTAGCTTGAAAATTAGATAGTGACATTCTCATCAGTGTGAGCCATTTTCTGAGTCCAAGGGGATTAAGTAATTCAGCCCAGACTTTGTCATTTTGGAGCTTATGCTCTCAGTTCTAAGCAGTGAAAAGTTAAAAACCTATTTAATTTTTATTCACTTTATATATCTATTTAACCTTATAAGAGACCTAGTTTATTAATTAATTGTGTTGATTAACATTTATAAGGATATTTCATCTTAGGGTTCTGTGACATCATACCTTTTTTTTATTTGCAAATGAAGATACATGTTAGAAAGTAAATGTTCTTGAATCTAAGCTTGTACTCTTTCTATTCCTTCTAAAGTGGTATCAATATCAAAATGCCAATCAACTCCAGTGGACCTGATTGGGTGACTGTGATTCCCAGGAGAATAAAAGGTAAAAAGGAATGAGCTTGATGGTTTGTTGTTTTTCTTGCTAAATGGATGAGGCTCTGTGGTTTCACTAATGTTATAAAAACTTTTTTCCTCCTTTTAATGTGCCATGGACATTAAATTAATATGTCATGGACATACTTCTGGGCACAATTGAAAATACTAAAAGAGCTTTTTGATTAAAATAAATCAGACCTTATGTGCATAATCTTGGGCTTTGATATTTAGACTCATGTAAAAGTCGTCTTCCTCCTCCTGTCTCCTCTCTGGTTGGCTCCTTAGGAGCCTTCAGTGCTGTACCGTCCAGTGTGGTAGCTCCTAGCCACATGTGGCTATTTACGTTAATTAAAATTAAAGTTAATTAAAATTAAATTAAAATTAAATAAAGTGTAAGTCACATACCCTCAGGGGCCACGTGTAGCTAGTGGCTGCCATGTTGGACAGCATTTTATATAAAATGTATCCATTATTGCAGGAGTTCTGTCGGATATCAGTGCTCTAGAGATCCTCAAGAAATGTGTGTAAAGTTATCATAGAAATTTTTGAAATCCAAAGCATTGGGTTAGTGAATGGCAGGTTTCTCAAGGTGTGGTCTCTGCATTAGCAGCATGGGCCTTAGCAGGGACTTGCTGGAATTGCAGATTCTCAAGTCTTATCTCAGGCTACTGAATCAGACACTCTGGGGTGTGGGGCCCAGCAATCTGTGTTTCAACAAACCTTCTAGGCGATTTTGATCCATTGGTATAGGATATCGTTAAAAGTAAGACAACGAAATTCTGAAGAGTAAATGTATACGTTCTGTTTTTGCAGAATAGATGTAAATAGCTATGGTGACTTTTAGGAAGAAAGGATGACTATTATTAAGGAAGCTTATGCAGATGGCAGGCAAGGTCCTTTTAGCTGTTGAAAGCATGGATGTATAGTCTCCCACACAGATCCTGCAAACACAGATGCCATCGGGCCTAGGTATATTATACATATGAATGTAGTCACGGTGGGTGTTAGTCACATGCATGCCTTGTGTGGTGGGGAGGGAACTGGAGAGCAAGGACAGCCTCTCTGCAGTTCCTTCTGATTTGTTGCTGTGCAGAAATGTCGACGCAGTGTGGCCAGATCTATAGGGTTTTTTTTCCATAAAAAAAAATCAGAAGTCTTAATCTTTAATCTTTAAATGTAGTATCTCCAGATTTCAAAACATTGGCATCCAATTGAAAACCTTTAAAATATTTTGTGGGCTACATAAAATTTGTCTGTGGCCCAGCGGCAGCCAGGACACTGCGAGCCTGTATCTCTGGTCCCTGCCATTGTGTCCCAAGAAATCCCAATCTTTTCCTAATGAAAGGCTGTATTTGATTTACTTAAAGCCCGTGAATTACTCATTTTAAAGGATTCATATATGAAACATCATTAATGGAAATAACTTTTATTTGCCTGGGCCTCTCCCCCCATATTATCCCCCACAGTTCTGTACTCCTTGCTCTTACGTGTCTGACACCAAGGAGGCCTTGTTCCACCTCCCTTCTCTGCCACAATCCCAGTCTTCTGGCTTGCCTGCCTTGTCCCTGGGTATCTAGAAGGATCGTCAGTGGGTGGAGCTTTGGATGGTTTACCTGCACCTGACAGGCCTCGGTGTTAACCAAGAAGTGGTTGTGGGTTTGTGAGGTACTGTTCTGTTTAGAAAGAAGACAGATTTAGTAACCAGTGAGACTTTTGATGGATTTTTATTTTTTATTTATTTATTTAAAGATTTTATTTATTTGAGAGAGAGAATGAGTGTGGGGAGGGGCAGAGGGAGAGAGACAAGCAAACTTCTCGCTGAGCCAGGGAGCCTTTTTCTGGGCTCGATCCCAGGACCCTGAGATCATGACCTGAACCGAAGTCAGTCACTTAACTCATTGAGCCACCCAGGCTCAGCTTGATGGATTTTTTTTTTTTTTTAGAAAGGAAATCTTTTTTTTTTTTTTTTAATATTTTATTATTTGTCAGAGAGAGGTGGAAGAGCACAAGCAGTGGGAGTGGCAGACAGAGGGAGAAGCAGGCTCCCCGCTGAGCAGGGAGCCTGATCCTGGGACCCTGGGATCATGACCTGAGCCGAAGGTAGATGCTTAACTGATTGAGCCACCCAGGTGTCCCATCCCCTTGATAGATTTTTAGAGGAAGAAATGAACCATGTATCCGTAGAAGCAGAATAGCCTGGCTTTGAGAAGACCGTCTCAAACAGGTACATAATTGGAAAGAAAAGAGAAGGGCAGTTGCTTTATAGAATATCAGAGACCCGGTTTAGGAGAACTTCACTGCAGTTCACACTAGTGCCCGGCAAGGTGCACTCAAAGACCCTAAACCGTGGGCTCGCCTTCTTCTCTTCCTCCCTCCCTATCTTCCTCCCTTCATTCCTTCCTTCATCTTTTTTAACACTTTGTTTTCAGATAATTTTAGACTTACATATGAGTTACAGAAATAGTACAGAGTTCCTGTATAGCCTACACCCAGCTTCCCCTTATGCTGACATTTTATATAACCACATAATACTTTCAAAACTAAGATTTTAACATCAGTATAATATTATTAACTACACTGTAGGGTTTATTTGGATTTCATCAGTTTTTCCACTCATGTTCTTTTTCTGTTCTTGAATCCAGTGCAGGATCCCACATTGCATTTAGTCACCATGTTTTCTTAGTCTTCCCTCTATGACATTATCTTCCATGACTTTTAAACTTTGAAGAGCGTTGGTCACATATTTTTTAGAATGCTTCTAACTTTCGATTTGTCTAATGTTTTCTAATGATTGGAATGAGATCATGAATTTTTGGAAGAATAGCAAAGGGGAGTACATGATGTTGATATGTATTGTTAATGATGTTAACTTTGATCACTTGGTTCAAGTGTCTGTCAGGGTTCTCTTCTCTTTATATTTATTCTGTATTCTGGACAGATAACTTTGAGACTGTGGTAAGCTGAATAATGGCCCCCAAAGATATCCAAATCTTAATCCCTCAAATTTGTGAATGTTGTTGTATACGGATGGCAAAGGAAACTTTGTATATGTGATTAAGTTAAGGGTCTAGAGACAGGGAGAGATTATCTGGGTAATCTGAGTGGGCCCTAAATGCAACCACAAGTGTCCTTTTAAGAGGGAGGCAGAGGGAGATTTCATACAGAAGCAGAAGGCAGTATGACAACGGAAGCAGAGAGAGAATTGAAGATGCTGTGCTGCTGGCTTAAAACGTGGAAAAAGGGGCCATGAGCCAGAGAACACAGCTCTAGAAGAGGCGAGGAGACACATTGTTTCCTAGCTCCTCCTGAGAGAGCATGGCCTTACTGATACCTTGGTTTTGGCCCAGCGATACTGAATTTGGACTTCTGGCCTCCAAAACTGTAAGAGAATTAATTTGTGTTGTTTTAAGCCACCAAATATGTGTTAACTTGTTATAGTAGCCACAGGAAACTACTCTCCAGATGTCTCTCTATTACAACAGAATGTAAACATCCTGTTTACATCTGCTTACACTTTCACCCACTCATTTTTGCATTCATTAGTAGATCTTGCCAGCAGCAATTATTTCTGTGGCACGTAATTCTGATTTTTTAATCTCTCATTCCTAAGACACTTATTAATTGGAATTTTTCTGTAAGGAAGAATTGTCCCTTTTTTCCTATTTATTTAATTATGTCATTATAGGCTTATGACTCATGATTGTTTATTTCATTCTTTGGGTTATTACCCAATTCATTTGTTATTTATTTTGTTGCTGTGATTGCTCCAGTTTTGGGAATTGGGAATTTTTTCGGTTTGGCTCCTGTGCCCCTTTGACATGCTGTCATCCTTTTTTTTTTGTTTCCTGTAAGCACTTCCTTACTTTCTGGCACCACAAGATATTTCAGACCCATCTTGTATTTTCTTTGCCCTGGCCTTGGAAGGGTTTATATTCTTTCCACTTTTATTATTTTAGTTATGAATCCTGTGTTTTGAAGGTTTTGTTTTTTCTTATCAGTTTTTGTATGTTAGGTAACTGATTTTCCTACAAGCTAAAATTATTCTAAGATGCATATTTAGTCTGCTGAATTGTTTGAGATTACCCGTCTACCCCCAGGCATGGGTATAATTCCAGTCAAAAACAAAGAATCATAGGGACAAGATCTGGTTTCTGACAGGCTTTCCCAGTGTCAGAATTGCTGCTGACTTTTCATTAGCACCTGTACTGTGGTCCCGAGACCACCACAGCCTAACAGAAGCCTTGACGGCTTCTAACCTCACCAACAACTAAAATAGAGCTCATATTTTTGGGAGAGCTTACTGAGAGTTTGGGATAAAACTAGATCTAATAGCAATAGAATAAACATTAACATCTTTGTAGCCCTTTGCTATTTTCTTTATCTTTTGAGGTGTATCCTACATACCAATGAGTGCATGGATTGTAAATATATAGTATAATGGAAATTTACATTTGTATCTGTCTTTGTAGCTGCGGTAGGTCAATTCTAAGATGACTCCCAGTGACCCATGCCCATATATAATTCTTTTTCTCTTGAGTGTGGGAAGGACTTGCAAATATGATGGGATATCACTCCCATGATTTGATTATGTAACAAAGTTGACTTCTAAAAAGTATACTATTCTGGGTAAATCTGACCTAACTGGATAACCCCTCAACAGAAACCAGGTTCTTCTTGAAGAGATTCAAAGTGTGAGAAGGCTTTCATGTGAGGGAGATTCTTTGTTGCTGGCTTTAAAGATGGAGGAAGCCATGTGGCAAGAAATGTAGGCAGGTTCTAGGAACTGAAAGGCATTCCCTGTCTGACAACCACCAAGGAAACAAGAATCTCAGTCTTAGAACCACAAGGAACTGAATCTGGCCAACAATTTGAATGAGCCTGGAAGCAGATTTCTCTCATCTTTGGGAAGGAACACAACCCTGCTGACAACCTGATTTCAACCTGTGAGACTCTCAGAATCCCGCTATGCCATGCCCTGGACTCTTGACAGATAGAGCTCTGTGATAATAAATGTCCCTTGTTTTTAAGCCACTTAAGTTTGTGGTGGTTTGTCACACAGCAATAGAAAATGAATAAAGTGTAACTACCACCCACATGAAGATATAGAATGTTTAGAACACAGAGAATATTTCCAGCATTCCAGTGTTGCCCTTTATATTAAAAATGGTTAATACTACTAATACTACTATAGTATTGGACTTTCACAATAGCTCTTCAAAATAACTAATAATTTATCCGTTTTGTAGATAATGAAACCAAGTTCCAGAGCTCATTCAGTCTTCATTTTGACATCTGCTCTGTGTCTGATGCTAGACCAGACTCAGAATACAGGGGATGAATAAGATGAGAGTTTAAGTGATTTCTGGCGTCTCCTTTGGGAGAGGTGGAGACAGATATAAACCAGAGCCTCTGACTCAGGTCCAACCCCTTTTCTGCTATCTCTTACCGTGCTTGGGAGGTGTGGTGGAGGACGTCTTGCTGTTCGGGTTTGTCTGCAGTAGTGGAATCCATCAACTCTCTAAAATCTAAATGCATCCAAATGATGGAATGAATGATGAAATAGTGTTGGATGTTGCTTGGTGAAAATCAAAGTGGTGCTGTTATGGATGAGACGTCACTCTGATGTTGATGTGGTAGTGCAACAAATTGGACAAAGCTTTTTTTTTATTTTTTATTTTTTTAAAGATTTTATTATTCATTTGAGAGAGCAAGAATGAGAGAGAGAGAGAACACATGAGAGGGGGGAGGGTCAGAGGGGGAAGCAGACTCCCCGCTGAGCAGGGAGCCCAATGCGGGACTCGATCCCAGGACCCCAGGATCATGACCTGAGCTGAAGGCAGTCGCTCAACCAACTGAGCCACCCAGGCGCCCTAAAGCTATCTTTTTTTTTTTTTTTTTAAAGATTTTATTTATTTATTTGACAGAGGAGAGAGAGAGAGTACAAGCAGGGGGAGAAGCAGGCTCCCCACCGAGCAGGGAGCCCGATGCGGGGCTCGATCCCAGGACCTTGGGATCATGACCTGAGCCAGAGGCAGATGCTTAACTGGCTGAGGCACCCGGGTGCTCCGGACAAAGCCATTTTAAAGACAATCACTTTCCAGTTGTTGGAAAAAATACTTCATACAGAATACATTTTATTTGGTTAACTTAGAAAATCAAAGGGCTCATATCCTACATATAAAATCCAACTAACTGATAGCATTTGGGGGTAGGAAGCCCATTCCCACAACTGTATCAGTAGTGTAATGTGTGCCTTTATAGACAGACTACCTTTACCACTAGCTGTCCCTACAACTCTGAGAAACTTTGGCAAGTCACTCTGTGACATTCTTTCTTCACCTTTAAAAGATTTAGACTAGCCATTATCTGAGGTCCCTTTCAACATTCTTTGAATCTATAGGTATTTCTACCTATACCTATTTTTAGCTTACCTCTGTAAAATGCTTCGCTTTTAGGGGACTAAAGTATAAAGAAAAAAAATTAAATTCCCAAGATTTTCTAGGGGGCACTCAAGAGACTCAAACTCAAGCCATGGTAATGACTGTGTAGCCGGGACCTTCTCATAGTCCCAGCCCTTGATAAGGTATCCGTAAACAGCTCCACACATGCTGTCCTCATTTCTTATCTCCCTGAGATGGTACCCAAGTGTTCCGGTGTGTTCCCCAGTGCAAGGAATTGATTCTTTTTCTTCTCTGTCTTGTTTTTCCTCTCATGAACTATATACTCCCCTTTGGCCTGCCTTTTACTTTTCTGTTCTGTGATAATTCCATGCCATAATTTTAAGGGACATGTGCACTAACATGCACTCACACACACCTCCCACCCTTAATTCACACTGTATCTCTGATCCAGCTCTTTCTAGATAGTATAGGGAAATTTTTCTCTCTGCATTTTTCTCCCTCATTTTGTCCCATTTGTGGCCCAAATAGCCCTCATTTTGGCTAATGAATGACATGGGATGACACCCTTTGGAAGAAAATATAAACTATGGGTTTTAAAGAGACACTAACAGATTTTAGAGAAGCAGGGACCTTACTTGCAAGTTATCGAAACTCTCCCTTCTGATTTTGCATAAAGATCTTCTTATCTGCCTTTATAACCACCTCCAGGAAAACAACTTCCTTCACCTTCAGTATTTAAGATAACTGTAAAATTAGTAATAACTCATTTTTGTTTTAAAATTACTTTTATTCCACATGCATAGTATATTGGGGTTATATATTCAGTTTTAGAGACTTTCATATCTTATGTGAAAATTCCGAGGTTAAAGAAATGCTGACTTTGAAATAACTTCAGACTCCTTAAAGTCTTATTAAAATAGGAAATGTGTTGGGGATGCCTGGGTGGCTGAGATGGTTAAGTGTCTGCCTTCAGCTCAGGTCATGATGCCAGGGTCCTGGGATCGAGCCATGCATTGGGCTCCTTGCTCGTGCTCTCTCAAATGAATATATAAAATCTTAAAAAAAAAAAAAAAAAGGAAACGTGTGTCTCAGCTGACCATAAGAGGGCAGTGTAGGTACATGCATTTCACTTTAAAATTATGCTCTGTTATCTAGTGCTGCAAGTGTAAAGAATTAATGTCAGGTTCAGTAATTGATTTGCTTTGCTTGACTTAACTCTGGTAGTAAATATAATTAACATTTGCATGGGAATGGTAATTGTTTCCTGTGTGATATATACTTTTCTTTATCACATGTTTTTGACACAGAATAGCCAAGTGTCCTGAATTAACCATGGTAAAAATTGTAACTTCAAAATCACTTTTAATTCCCAGTCTAGTAAATGTTTTCTTTGTGCCCCAGGTGTCTGCTCTAGGGCTCTCTGCCTGTGTAATCTTGACGTGCTGTTGTAATGAGGGAGCTTTGGGCAGGGTGTGGTAACACAGTAAAGCCACACTTGGTAACATGTGAAGAAATTGTTTTTGAATAAGCCAGATAAATTATCCCTCCCCCCCATTTTTTCTTTGACAATCACTTTTTCCAAGTAAAGTTTTTCTTTCTTTCTTTTTTCCAAGTAAAATTTTAAAAAATGCCATTTACCTTTCTGCTTAGGCCCTGAACCTTCAAAGAATTAGCAGATGCCTAAGTTAAAAGATGAAATAGGCACTATCTGTCAAATAGGGCATCTTCTTTGAAGAGAATAAAACCAAAATAATTTTGAATAATAATAATATCAAGATGATAAGCTGAAAATAGTCACAAATATGGGACTCAAATTTAAATTGCTGAGTCGTATAAACATTTGGATTTCGAATTGTGGTTTAACAGGTGAGACTATAGAATTACTGGATTATGATACAGGTTTGAGCCTTGGGGTTTGTAAGGAAGTGATATAAAAAAATTGGTGGTTTTTAAAGATTGTAGATTCAAAATGAATAAGTATACTCCTTCAGGAAAAAAGCCAAAAAGAAAACGGCTGCCATCTACAACCATCTGCTTTTGAGAGATGATGTAGCACAGTGGTTAGAACATGGGTATTGGGACTCACCTGCCTGGATCAGGTCCTGGCTTTGCCACTTACTAGCTCTGGGTCTAGGTCAAGTTGCTGAACTGTTCTGAAAGGTAGAGGTAACAATAGGACCTACCTAGGGTAGGTTGGGTAGGGTTATTGTGAGCATCATATGAGATAATATGTTTAATTGCAGAGTAAACTCACAAGAAATATTTGCCATCCCTGTTTATTTTGAAGCATGTAAAATGTGTTGTTTCTACAGAAGCATTTTCCAAGGGAGGTGTTAGGGCAGAAGGATGTTGACTCTCCCTCTGAAATGTGCTCTGGTGCTTGTGTCATCACATGTAGCTAGGCTACAACCATGAGTACACACTGCTGCTGTGTTTATTTTATTTTATTTTAATTTTATTTAATTTTATTTATTTTTTAAAGATTTTATTTATTTGTCAGAGAGAGAGAGAGCACAAGTAGGAGTGGCAGGCAGAGGGAGAAGCAGTCTTCCTGCTGAGCAGGGAGCCCAATGTGCAGCTCGATCCCAGGACCCTGAGGACCCTGAGATCATGACCTGAGCTGAAGGCAGACGCTGCACCGAGGCACCCCTGCTGCATTTTAAATACTGTTCATTGTGCAAGAAGGCCTTCTGAGCCTTCTGTGTTGTGGGGAATAGTTCTTCAGAGTGTGTATATTTGGTTTGTTCTCTGTATTAAGTGGTGGTTTTCTGAATTCATATTTGATTATAGGACCCATAGGTTAAAACTTTCCTTTTAATAGGCTGAGCAGGGACGCCTGGGTGGCTCAGTTGTTAAGTGTCTGCCTTTGGCTCAGGTCACAATCCCAGGGTCCTGGGATCTAGCCCCACATCAGGCTCCCTGCTCTGCGGGAAGCCTGCTTCTCCCTCTCCCACTCCCCCTGCTCGTGTTCCCTCTCTGCTGTGTCTCTGTCCAATAAATAAAATCTTAAAAAAATAATAATAATAGGCTGAGCAACAGTGGACTGATTTTACTATACATATGTAAAATATGAATTTAAGGTGTTACTTACCTCATAGGCCTTGGTATGAGAAATTCATTCTGGGATAATACTGGACAATGCTTATATCTACACATTTCCATGGTTATTTGCTTGCTTTTATTTTTGGCTTTGATAAAAACATGCATAATCAGAGGGGAGTGCTCAAAGTCCCCTTTTCCCTTTCTGTCCACCACACGTTTCGGATCTTCCTATTTTTGTGCAAAGGAGAAACTTTTGTAGCAAGGGGAAAGTCTGGGATTTCTCTGAGATGTGATGGCAGGAAATGTTACCCATATACGAGCAGGCTAACAAATAAAGGGGCTTAATTTTGTTTCTTGGAGCATTTTCCATGTATGGTTTGTTGGAGGAGACTTTCAGAATATCTTATTTTTTCCTTTTTCTTTTCAGAAACGAACAATCTAGAACTATCTCAAGGCTCAGGAACTTTTCCTTCTGGGTATTATTACAAAGACCAGTGGAGGCCCAGAAAGTTTAAGATGCGCCAGTTTAATGACCCTGACAATATCACAGAATGCTTGCAAAGAAAAGTGGTGTATTTATTTGGTGACTCAACAATCAGGCAGTGGTTTGAGTACCTTACTACGTTTGTTCCAGGTTAGTACTTTGTATTTTATTTTATAACTCTTTTCCACATGGACAAAACCATCTTTCTTCACTCCAGTGCCTGAAGAAAGGCATCGGCCAAGGAAGTAGTTATTTCTCTGTGGGACTGAAGAGGTATCCTAACCCTGGAGAGCTGTGTGATGGTTTCTGATCCATGGTGGGGTTGATGTATTGACGGAAGCACTGTGTGCTTGTTGAAGTTTTGTACCATGGATTAGCTGTGCGATCCTGGATGTGTCATTGTTACCAGGCCTTCATTTCTCCATGTGTGCAGTGAGGCAGCTGGATGGTATCACCTTACAGCAGTCCTTTACTTCTGATATTCTGGGCTCTAAAAGAGAGGGGGACGTTTCCAGTTGTTTCTCTCCTAATTCTGTTTGGTCAGACTCCAAGTTTATAATAGATTTAACTGGAAGGAAGCAGCCAAACTGACTGTGGTCCACTTTAATGCATCCATTCAGCAAAGCCTTCCCAGTGTCATCCCTTGGGCATTCCATTGGTATGATTTTGAGATGAGCTGGCTCCTACTGAGGGAGTCTTGGTAAGTCCCAGCATTCTTAGCTTCCTGATTTCACTGCTGGGCTCTGGGGGTGCTATCCAGACTCAGAATAAAGCTCCACTCACTGGAGGCCATCCCTTATTCAAGGGCCTTTTCTTCTTCATGGGAGGTATGTGGGCTGGATGAGGAGAGATGAATCCCAGGTAACAGTACTAAAGACCCTGCTTACAATTTAGAGAGCTGATAAGTAATTCTTTGGGAACTATTTTTGAGGGCTGTATATGGGGAGGGTTTTCCATAAAGCACAGTCCCATAGTTTGTTGTGAGCTGTTGTTGGTATTTTTTTTTCTCTTTTATTTTTTACATCAACTTAATTTCAGATTTAATTTTTAGAAGGAAAGGAAGAAGTAGATATGATCCCCAAAAGTAGAAAGTTAATTCCAGTTTTTGTTTTGCTTGTTTTTTTGAAACAGGCATAGCCGAGTTTAGTCGATAAAGCGTACATTAAAAACTAGAAAAAGGGATATAATTTGTATGGCATAATGCTAAACATGTTTTGATGCTGACTAGGCAGGGCCCTCCAAGAGTCTTTAGTTGTTTGTTTCTTAAGTTCTAATGACGTAGCTCATTATTTCCTTTCATAGCAGTGATCACATTGGGTGTCTTGATTGTTTTCCACCATATCCTTTGCAGACAGATTTTCACCTGATAAAGCCTTGTGTCAGGGCTTGATCTTAATCAAAAGAAAAAATGATAGCTTGAGTTTATTCAGCTTAAGTGGGGCCAAATGCTAAGTAGTAATGAATTAGGTAGGAAATTCTAGAAGAGGAGTCTGGGACTGCTTGGAGAGAAAAGTGACACCTTTAACCCTTAAGAAGAATGTAGGCCAATTATAGTATGATGTTATTTCTTCAGAATTGACAGTATACCTCTTGAGAGCCAGGACTGTGACTTATCCATCTGAGCATTACTGGCTCATGGCACTGAATAGGTGCTTAGAAGTGCTAATTGACTTGGGTTGCCAGAAGTTACTTGGTCTGTTCTCTGAAAGGCACTTGTAGGAACATTTAAGTATATGAGACAGGCCCTCTTTCCTTATGGGGCGTATGTTAAGTGATGAATTGTAGAGACAGAGTTTTTTAGGGGTAACAAAAGAGAAATAATCACTGATTCCTAGGACCATCAGAAGATCTCAGAGGAGCTAGACTTTGAAACACCACTTAGTCTTTGTTATTCTTGTGACGGAGATAGACATTTTCTAAGACACTAATATGATTTTCCATCCATAGGGTGAAATCGAAAATCAGAAGAAACAGGGCTGCTCCGTTCTTTCATGTATTGCAAAAAGAAGTATTTGGTTACATTTATGCATTCTTAAAAAGGCAGAAGTTATAGCCCTTCTCCTAGAAGAAATAATGTTTGTCTATTAGAAGAATAATGTGTAAATGCCAAGTTGATTTTTAGATATTCAGCAGTTGGTGCAAACAGGAAGATTTCTTGGCCTAATGGTTAGTGGTAAACAGTTATTTTGCTTCTGGGGTATATAGACATAGGTATCACTGGTAGTTTAATAAATATGTTAGAATACAGGTCTGTTGAGGCCAGTGAAATAGATATTCCCTTTACACTTGTACCTTTTTGTTATACTTTTATTTGAAAAAATGTTCTTTTAAGCTGCTAAGTATAGAATCATCATAATATATGTGCTTGGTTTGAACATTTTTATGAATTTGAGTTTTCCTTGTTTCAGATTTAGTGGAGTTTAACTTGGGTAGTCCCAAGAATGTGGGTCCTTTCCTTGCGGTGGACCAGAAGCACAACATCCTGCTCAAATATCGCTGCCATGGTCCACCCATCCGTTTTACAACTGTCTTTAGCAATGAGCTCCATTATGTGGCAAATGAGCTGAATGGCATCGTGGGCGGGAAGAACACCGTGGTTGCCATAGCTGTATGGTCTCATTTTAGCACCTTCCCCTTGGAAGTGTACATCCGGCGGCTCAGGAATATCCGTCGAGCAGTGGTCCAGCTCCTGGATCGAAGTCCTAAGACCGTGGTAGTCATCCGAACAGCCAATGCCCAAGAGCTGGGGCCTGAAGTGAGCCTTTTCAACAGTGACTGGTACAACTTTCAGCTGGACACCATCCTTCGGAAGATGTTCTCAGGGGTTGGAGTGTATCTCGTTGATGCCTGGGAGATGACCCTGGCTCATTATTTACCCCACAAGCTACATCCAGATGAAGTTATTGTGAAGAACCAACTGGACATGTTCTTGTCCTTTGTGTGCCCCTTGGAGACCTAGCCTGCCCTGGAGGGGACTGGAGGAATCATATTACCTGCAGTACAGGAAGTTTATGGCTGGCCCCATGGAGAGATGGCTGCTATTGACATGTACACAATTTCAAAAGAAACTGGACTTTATATAAGACTTATAAGGAGCTTAGAAAATGCAGGTTGCATTTATGTCTACCTACAGCATTTTTTCCAATCTTTACATAGCCATGGGAGAACCATTATTAACAACATCTATGCACTGTATTGCCCTTGTAACCAAAGATGCTAGTGAGTGTGTTTGAATTAGCCTCTCCTGAGAGGGGAGATTACGATGCTAAAAAACTGTGAAAAATGTTCTGACCTAAGTGGTTGGTAGTGGAGTGTTTGTAGCTTATCTGGTAAAGGAGATTGAGCTTATCTGTATGAATAACACGGTTGGTCCATCTTCGGTGGGATGAACTGATAAGGCTTCTAGTCAGTGGCTCCTGTAATATGCTGCGGACTGCTGTGTCTCAGGAGTTTCTTTCAATGATCCACCTTTTCTGAATTGCTTGAAAAGGCCAGTATCCTTGGTCAGAACTTTCTAGTGAGAATATTTACAATACCCCGCTTTTATCTAGAAAAGAAGCAAAAGAAAAATATGAAAGCAGTACACAAAATCTGTGTGTTGAATTGATACTTGCACTGGGGGATTGTTACTTATTTCAGCTAAATTTTACATGATGAATACTTTAATCACTTTTGGAACTGGAAGGGGGAATCTATAAATGGAAATTTATTTTTGTGTTTTGAAGTTTGAGGGTTTTAAGAACTGAATTTTGTGTAAAGAATGCTGTTGTTTATTATAAAGTTGTAGAAGTTACTTCCATCAAGTTCAAGTGTTTCTTTTTTGGTTGTTATTTTTAATCGCATACCAACATCAGAAATTAAAAATAATTAGTATCGAAAGTTCGATATTGAGATCTAGAACAGGTATTTATTGATTTGAATGTAAGGTATACATATTCTCTCATGCTTGGAAGTAAAAAGCTGCCATTCCTACTCGCTATCTTAAAATAATTGAATTATCGATTTTACTTGACTGTCTTTACCTTATTAATTTCAAATGAGTGTAGGTTAACTTGGGGCCATTTAGTAAGTGTCAGTACTCTTTTCCGAGCCACAATAGATTACAATCTAGTTTTAGTTATCCCTAAATGGATACATGAAGAGACTGAGGAAGCTTTAGAGATGAAGACAGATGTTTAAAGCGTGAAAAAATTTGGAGTTTTAACTTAGAACAGAGAGTGTAAGATCTTCCTTTCTTAGCCTTGAGGGCCACCTTCAAATTTATAAAATATACATATGGGGAAAGAAGATTTTAAATTGTTTTCTGAGTCTAAAGAGGACCAACAAGTAGATAAAAATATTAAGAAAGTTTAATTTTAATGGTCTTTAAGCTTTAGAGTGTCTGAGAATCACCTGGAATACGTGAGAAAAATACAAACTTAGGGGTCATGCTTCTGGGAATTGTGGAATCAACCTTTGTTACAAGTGTCCACTGATTCTGACGCAATGGTAATATTCTACACTTTGAGAAATACCAACTAAGGGAAGAAGGAAGATAGAACTAAGGAAATAATATTGCTTGTCTATTATTTCGGGGCCTTAATCCCTAACATTTAATTGTGATCATGATCTAGTAGTGTAGGTAATATTAGGTACCTTTTATAGATGAGGAACTCGAGTTTGGATTTGAACCAAGGTATGCGAGAGTACATAGCCCTTGTTGGACTTTTATAAAGAGAGATTCTCTTTTTCACAAAAGAACTTCTTAAGCATTTTCTCAAAGATTGCTGGAGGCTGAGGCTGAGCTTCATCTTCTCAGGAGAATTTCAGTTTCCACTGCCTCTCCGGGGCTTTGGAGTGATGCTTTTTTTTTTTTTAAGATTTTATTTATTTACTATTAGAACAAGTGGAAGGAGGGGCAGAAGGAGAAGCAGACTCCCCGCTGAGCAAGGAGCCCATGCAAGACTTTGATTCCAGAACCCGTCGGATCATGACCTGAGCTGAAGGCAGACGCTTAACTGACTAAGCCACCCAGACAGCCCTGGGTGGCTCCCTGAACAACCATCATTTTATTAAATACCAATTGACTGACATTTCCTGGCTTCAGGTATTAAGTTTCAGATTGATACATTGGGATGTAACAAGAATATTTGGTAAGCCTTTACATATCCATATTACATGCCAGAGATGACTCTGTTTCTGGGCCCTATTAAAGGAAAAAGCAATTACTGAGAGAAGTACAGGGAAATTAACACCTGCACCCCCCCCCCCATTTGAGAGAGAGAGAACCAGTGGAGGGAGGGGCAGAAAGGGAGGGAGGGAGAGGGGGAGAGAGAATCTTTCAAGCGGACTCCCCACACGGCTGGATCTCTCACAGAGCCGGGAGCCCCACATAGGGCTGGATCTCTCACGGTACTAAGATCAGGACCTGAGCCACCCAGGCGCCCCTCATATTTTGCTTTAATAATATTCTCCATTAAATGAGAGGAAGCCAGGAAGAAGGATCTTCTGTTAAAGTTTTAAGGACCTTCTGGTGTTTAGCTCTAGATGCCCATTCCTACTGGAGAATCAGACATTTCCGGTCTAATTACAAAGCTGGATTTTAACACTGCGGAGGGTGGGGGGTTGGGAAGCAGTACAGGGATTACAGTTGTAAGTGTCCCAAAAGGAAAAGGAGTCACAGTGAAACCAAATGTCATAGGCCAAATCCTTTCAGTGTTATGCAATAGTTCACATTCTCTGTTTAAATTCACTCCACTCTCCCCTGCCCCTGCCCGCGTGAAAATAACGTGATCTTATTATAGAACCACTGCTTTATTTACGTCTTTGTCATTGAAGGCACATGATAGCGATACTACTTTTTGATTGCCATAGTTTGAAAATCTGTGCTGTAGGAAGTATCAACTCCCCTCCCCCTTTTTGAAGACCTACAGAAGAAAAGCTAAATAAAAGAGAAGGCAAGGGGCACCTGGGTGGCTCAGGCGTTAAGCTTCTGCCTTTGGCTCAGGTCATGGTCCCGGGGTCCTGGGATGGAGCCCCGCATGGGGCTCGCTGCTCGGTGGGAAGCCTGCTTCTCCCTCTCCCACTCCCTCTGCTTGTACTCTCTCTCCCTATCTCTCTCTCTCTGTCAAATAATAAAGTCTTAAAAAAAAAGAGAGAGAAGGTGAATCAAATGAGGGAGCAACACTAACGCCCGGTGTGGATTTATTGAGATTTTAAAAAATGCATCCCTAAGAAAAATGTTTTGTTTTTAGATTTGCTTCTGATTCCTCTGCGGGATTCCAGTCCAGGTCTTGGAGCCGGCCCTCGAGGGGAATGTCCGGGACTAGGGTTGGTACCTTTCTGGCTTGGGAATTTCCAGTATGCAGAAAAAAATCCACAAAACTAGTCCTGGTTGCCCCTCTCCGCCTCCTCTGCCCCTCCTCCGTGCCCACGCAATCCCTTTCGAGCGGCCGTTTGATTGTATTCTGTATTTTAGAAAATAGGTCCTTCGCTTCCCCCGCCCCCATGCTCTCTAGAGAGCTGAACAGAAAGCGGACGCTATAAAAGGGGACGGGGGAGAGGGGCTGCCCTCTTCTTGCCACGAGGTCAGACGCCGAGTTTTAGAGAAAAAGGCTGCTTAACTGCTGCTGCTTATCATGTAACCTCAAAAGGAAACTGATCATCTTTCTCATGCTCTCACGTACTTGGGTTTATTATCGCTGATTACAGCTGGAAACAATTGATTTGCCTTTACGTATTTCTATGACTTGGCTCTTCAAACACAAAGGTATATTTTTATTATTTGATATTTAGTATGAAAAAGTATATTAAATGCTAAGCTTCTCCCCCCATATTCAGATTCTTTCTTTTGAAATCACTTTCTGATATTTGGGTGATCATACTTGTTTGGGGGCAAAATATTGAGGGGCAGTTTTTTTGGGAAATAAACTGGGATATTTCTATAGCTTGGTAATAGCCATGAATCGCATCTGTTTGCCTTGAAAGATCAGGAAGGACTAAGATGCTGATGGAGGGAGGTGGATAGGATGCCTGATGGAAGTACCATAAATCTGATATAACAATTTATCTTTAGTCTGTGATGTAGAACTATGATACTCCAAGGCAGAAATCTCCTGGGTTTGAGTGGATTTAGAGGTATACTTTCTCACTCATATAATGCCCTTATTAATTCTTATGTTACCCCTGTAAAATTAAAGACAAGTATTACAAGACAATTTTATGAATGAGGGAACCTCTGAAATTTGATGACGTGGCTGGACCCCCAGATTTATGACAATCTGTATAAAGTATTTGAAGGAATGCTGTGTGAATAAAAATATTTCTAGGTAGGGTGGATTAGAGATTCCACAGGGATTAGTTGATTTGTAAACTGGCTGTCAAGGGGTGGGTGTGTCCCAAAGAGGATGACATTTATTATGTACATTTTAAGCACTTGGTGCTTATAAATTCCCCCACTTTAAATCTGCTGTCTAAAGAAATATTTTATCTGGGCAGGTGAAAGTTTTTTTTTGCCTTAGATAGTAGGTTGTTTAGACAGTAAAAGGAGAGAAACATTTGCAAGGCTTATTCACTACCCTCAATAATCTCTGATAGAGGAGTGGATCAACCAAACAGATCATCTAAACATGAAGAGAATCCTGAAGTCTCTTTATTTGGCTTCAGGATACAGTGTATGATCTCCATTTTGCTTACGTTGAAGACGCAGTTGGGCAGGGTACAGGTGAAGAGCCCTGGGGTCACAGAAGTGTCAGTCTGGGATGAGTAGCATAAGAAATCAGTGCACAGCACATATAACGTTAAATGTTAGGCAGCATCCTTTTCAGCATGGAGGTGGTGACCATGGTCAGCATAATTTAGTTGTCCAGATGCAGACTTTTCCTTACTGAGGAAAGGATGCAAACCTTTCTCCTTTTACTTTGGCTGGAAGAAGTCCTGCTCTCAGAAAACCAAAGAAACCCTCTCAGAAGTTAAAGAGCCTGCTAATGAGGGAGTGAATTGTTCCTGAGAAAATCATTTCCCTTTGGCTTACAGCTGACTGATCTGGTGGCTTCTTGATTTCTCCCCCACAGGTTAACAGGAAGATCAGGAGGCTGAACTTGGCCTGATGCTGAACGCCTGAGGGTGAGAAAGGGAGATAATTCTAACCAAGTGTGGTGTAAATGTTACCTTGACCTTGGCTGATGTAGTCAAAATGGGCAGTGGGATGTTTTCTAAAATTTCTAAGATTCTTGGATCTCTTAAATCACTTTTTGAAGTTGCCTCAGTTACTGTGTATTTTCCTTAGGTGTTGTATGTGATTTCTTGTGAACTAAGATATTTTGGTGGTTTAGTATGCTTTTAACCAGTTTGAATTTCCACTATTTTCTATGAGAGGAGAACACATGAATACCTCTGAGGGGGGAATTCAGCTCTCTGCTGACTGGCAGTTTCAGAGTTATGTAATCTTTAACAGGCTCCCAGAGAACACCATGCCCCCTCTGGTTTTGGTGAAACCGCTCATTAAAGCTAACATATGTGGTTTCTGATTAAAGCACTTCCTGTTCCTTTAATTTGGGACTGTGAGGTAAAACACTTTCCTTCCAAAGTTAGTAGATGAACATACTTTACTGCTTCTTTGGGGGAGTTAGCAGTAGAGAATTAACATTTATTAAACACTTCTTTGGGGAGTTGACCAGCAAGATCTCATTTAGCTTTCCTCGTAGCTTCTGAGGTAGACATAATAAGGATAATTTCATAGGTGAGGAAATTGAGGCTCAGAGGGATTGAGCAATTGGTTCAAAGATCCCCTAGGTGGTAAGTGGCAGAGGTTGGATTTGAA